AAAAAAAAAAAAAAAAAAAAATAGAATTGGTCTGGGAAAAATGAAGGTGGAGTAGGAAAAAAAATGACAGAGTTAATATCTTCATAGAAAAGATTTACACTCGTGCGATGGTTCCACGAAATAAAAATGTCATACAGGCCACGTAGGAAGATCTTGGCGTAAAAAATCCAGCATTCACAGATACAGGCCAGCCCTGGCAGAACCACGTGTGCCGTTTTTGGGTCTGGAGCGAAAATTTTTGAATAGGACCCACGACAAAGCCGATAGACTTCCCCATTCTGAAAGGAATTGCTTTATTATGGCCATTCATTGATTTCTGGTAAGATCTTGAAAGTCCCTCCGTACTATGGGTACCGTTTATATGCATTTTCTGGTTTTTCAAAATCACAAAACCTACTCGACTTTTTCGGTCTGTCTTTCTCTTGTTCTGGCACCATGCCAAATCTTGATGGGGATAGGTAAAATTTTTTTTTTTTTGAAAATTTTTTTTCACCATTAATTTTCACTTGAGAAAATATAAGATTCTTGCTTTCACGCGGTTCGATAATTCGATACTTATTGATTGTTTATGCTTGGCTTCTGGTATATTAGCGCTCCCCAGCTATCGTATGGGAACAATAATAATAAATTTACGATACAGCCCGGCTTTCGTATTATGGACCACCTACGGCAAGCTACACGGGCTACTACTTTGCGCTCACTTAGCACTACACAAACAACAATTCAGCAAATGTGTTTATCACCGTATAAATTGTGCGAAATCACCGGACCACGTTACGGGATTCCAATAGTGCGTTTCGCTATATTGTAGATGGTATTCTCAAAAAAATTTCGATGCATCGAAAGTTACCAGAAATAAAAAAAAAAGGTTTGAGATACGATAAAAAAAATCTTAAAAAAACAGTAACTTTACCAAAAAATCCCATGGTGCGATTCCAACAGCAATTACTTCGTTTCCATGGAAACCAACGTAATTGAAATTAATTATGACGAAGCAAGCGGCTCACGATAGCTCACGATTTCCCAGGCGTTACCAAAAGTGACGTAACGTCATCGATTAGCGTTAATCGATTGGACGTGACTGAAATCTCAATATATTTTCCAGTATACGTTGTACAAGTACCGATTATCATATATAAATTCCATGAAATGTTAATGCGTGATACACGTCAGTCGTATAATAATAATAATTCGCAATAGTTACTCGAACTCACGTTAGAATTCAGGGGTGGTAAAAATATTTTCAGGGCTTTTATTAATTTCGTTATTTTTATTGAAACTTTGAGTTACGACAGGGCCCCTCGGAATTTACTGCCGCCGCGGTTGGCCTCGCTGGAATTTTTATTCGATTATCTTCCCAGATCTACCCCCGTGATAGCGCCCAAAAAATTAAGCGTGATTTGTGTCGTGAAACGCCGCCGTTGTTAACGACTGACATTCCTACGATCGCCGGTGTACGCTGCTGTAATTAGGGTTCATTGATTGTTGCCTTAGTCCTGTAGTCTTGTGTAAGACTAAAAGAAAAGTAGCGTGCGACACGTGGCGAAAATTCACGTGCGGGAAATCATTTGATTGTGAATGGAAAATTATAAGGATATATAAAGGTAAATAAAGACCCTGTATATATATATATATGTATACAAAAAGAGCGTGAGTGACATTAAACGAGTACGTACACGTGGTAATTGAACTTAAATGGATTCGCACACGTGAACGTAGCGGCGGCCTCGTGAAACGGTAACATAATAGTAATAGATACAAGCAGACTATAGTATAGTAGAAAATAAATATCTACAGTGTGTGCATAGTACGTAGGGAAAGGTATTTTCGCAGCCTCTCAATGCTCCCGCATCTAAATAATCTTCAATCTTTATCCTCGCGTGTTTTCTGCCACGCGCTTTATCGCCCCCATTAATACACTCTGTCGCGGAATTTATCGGCCGATAATTAATTTCGTTGCATAACCCCGGAGTTCATGGCTCGTTAAAGACTGCGAAAAGTGCCATCTCCTTTTATTTTAATTCTACCCGGTTTTTCACTTTACACATACTATACACAATATATATATTCCACGCTACAGTAAATGACAATAATCACTTTTGCTACTAAAAATAAAATATTCTTCAGACTGTACTTCTACGATATTACCCACTACCGTTTTACTTTATGTATTCATTAACAAAAAATTAATCGAAAAAAAAAAAAACAGAAAAAGAAAATTTGGATTTATTATTATCGTCAACCAAGTCTATCCGAGCGTAAAATCAAAGCTGCCGCCAAAATACGAAACTCGTTTGTCCGCGAATTTGCGAACCACTGAAAAAATAGCGAATATAAAGATGGAGAGGAGGTAGAAGAGAAGGTAAGAGTAGGTGATGATGGCGATGGTAAGTATATATATATATATATATGGGAGCGATTGTATAAAATGATTCGAAAGTGTTCGTGAACGAGGGCCTCCCGTATACATTGAAAATGCATATAGTATGTTCCTTATGAGTGTAAAACGTATATCCAAAGCGTACGGGTAGTGGTGCTCAGCAGGGTCAGAACGTGTAGAAAGACAAGATGATAATCTACGTATAATTAGCTCCTACTGTTGACTTCGTACCAACGAAGCCCCGGTTTCCGTGCGAACGCTTTAATGTCGCGTTTAATTTAACCTTCGAGTGGCGTCGGGAGGCCTGTGTGGGGACGGGTGCCGAGCGTCGGGCAATATAGGCGAGGGCAACGATGCCTAACGGCAACCACCGAATTTTCGATAGTGGCGAACGAACCGATAAGATTAATTAACAGGCTGGTTGATTTTAACGCGAGCCCGGTATACGGTTAGGAGAGACCCAGGTGAAAGGTCGTATGTCCTTACGTAGGCGAAAAACCGTCTCTCGGATATCGTTGAAGTATGTATCAAGCTGTGTCGAGGATTTATTTGATTGCGTAAAACACACAGTTTCTTGGGAACAAGGAGAGGTCTGATACGAAAGATGTAAGATAAGTCCTATATATTAAATATATATATATATATATAATTTTTCAATTGCGTTAAAAAATTATCTAATAATTATTACAAAAATAATTAACCGATGTGCATTTAGCGTGACTGAGAAATTGACGGATAATTGATAAGGATGATGAAGTAAAATATTTTTGAAAATTTTTTTTTTGTCATTGATATGCTATCGTTGCTTGCGATTAAGTTGAGTTATGCGTGTATTTGAAGCATCTGATTATCTGCTATGCGGAGTCTTTGACGCAAGAAGTAATTACATATGTATATCAGATGACGGGACTGGTGGACGAGACGAAAAAATTGGTATTATTTATGTTTGGTATTATTAGTATACGTTCTGATATCTCGGTGGGCATCGCTAATTAGTCCGCGGCCGCGGCCTTTCGGCAAACAGTGCTGGCTACTGTCTTAAGTTCCCTTAATCAAGATGGTGGCGCCAACCGCCCGGGGCGGTCGATTCCGAAACTAATTGCCTTGGCTAATTTATCCTGCGACATACGCACAGAGACCTCATTCTCACTGTACCGAGTAATCCGGTCACAAAATCTTTTTGAGGACAGGAAACTTTAATGGACGGCTAAGCGCAGTGCAGTAAAGTAGAGTTGATGATTTTTCTTGTTGTTGTATGCGTAATAAAAAAGGAAAAAAATAGGTCGGATAACGTTAAATTTTTAATCGTTCGATTCAGACAAATTTATATATACGTATATATATATTTCTTTAATCACTCACAATATTATACCGGACCGGCATTAGAATTCTTGGAGAAATACGCTGGACCATCTTGTTGGTAAAGTTATCGTTGATACGTGTAATAAATTGTTCTGGAATAATTGGAAGGTTTTCCTATTGGACGTTTCGATTGGTTCGACAACCATTAAGGCGACTTAGTTTTATCAGGGATAAATGACGTAATTCATGCTTGTCCTCGGTTACCTTAGAATTTATTAAATAGACTCTGATAATCTCCTAGTGACTGTTTTACATTTATACAAAAATCAAAAGAAATCGTTGCGGGTTTCGCGTATTACGAAACCCGAGAGCATTGGCACATGTTTATATGCACGTATATGGATACATGTATGTATTATAAATGTACTGTACACGTTACATAGTAAATCGCGTATTTACACTGTCTCGTAAACGAGAGATTAATTATTTACACGTTATTTACACTGATTCTGCTTTTGCTGATCTGTCGATCGATTACGTATTAGGATCTTGCTCCCATTTGGGATAATGCATTTTTATCCTTAGTAATCACGCGGCACAATTTTCTGCATTGTACTCCTTAATTAATTGCCAGCCGGAGAGGCTCCTTATTTCTTCGCTTCGATTTTTCACTTCCGCAAGAAAAATGACTTCTGGTCTGGATACCAGAGCCACTTGGTTCTATCGTTCCTTGGGATCATCATTCCCATCACGAATGTCGATTCATTCCCTGGAAGGATGCTGAGGAATGGAATGATGCGGTGATAATCCAGGATGAGGTAGCATTCCAACCGGATAGAGTCCTGCTGGAGTCAACAATGCATGATGTGATCCATATAGAGCAGTGTGATGCTGCCTGACCGCAGACATTCGCAATTTCTCTATTTCCGCTTCCTGAAGACGCTTCGCCTTTGCGCGCCTATTTTGAAACCAGATTTTGACCTGTAACAATTTTTGGGAAAAAAAAATTATTTCAACCGTACGTTTATGAAGTTTGAAGAGAAGGTAAATTTTGAAATGAAAATTTTTTTTTTAATTTTCTTAGAATTCGTTAACGAGATTCTCGCACCTGAGTTTCCGTGAGATGAAGAGATGACGAGAATTCCGCTCTCTCGGCTACACTGAGATACTGTCGCTCTCGGAATTTCTTCTCCAGCGACAGCAATTGCTGGGTCGTAAAGGGAGTCCTTGGCTTCCGATTTGGCTTGTGCTTCCGTAGGTTGCACTTGATCTTGGCGGGTTCGCCGTTTTCTGCGACATACAAATAAATCGTGATTGTCCATTGGCTTATACCGTATGGAGAAAATAGTAAGGGAACGCACGCTGTACACTATGAACGCATCTTACAAGGGCCTTGTCGCTGATCGTCGGTAACTGGCGACCACACGCTCCCTCCTTTTCTTTCCCGTTTCAGATAAACAAGAAAGCATCGCGATACCTTTTTATAAGGTAATTCATAATTTTACCCATCCGTACGGCACCGCACTGCGGCCTCATTACCTTTTTTCTACGTCGACCGCAAATTCCGGTCGCGGATCATTCACCAATAAAATTCCTTGCTTCGCCAGCATCGATTCTCCTTGGACTTTATAACTATATAGCAGAGAGCTTCTTTTATTTCTTTACCTAGGTAAACCTAATGGGACAGCATCCTGACTCTGACCGTAGAGAGGAGCAATAACCATTTCGTTATGAGACACAAGTAACAATAGTAGGATGAAAAAAAAGTAAATTCCAATAAAGTTCATAATCACCGAAATCGATCTTACTTTTTATCCCATAAAAAAAAATTTGTGGTCCATCATACCCGAGATGCTGGGAATCGATCGTGTATTGAAATTGTGTAATTTTTTTCATGGACAAGGATCTATGATGAAAATCATAAGAATCGTCGAGTGGATATACAAGGCGAAATGGAATCTTGTATTGAAAATCCATTTGACTTCGGTGGCTGTAGGTCCATAGTCCCGAGATTTGTCCCCGAAACAATTGACAGATTTGTAGGCAGCGAAAGTGGAGATGGGATCGGGTAGAGATCTCGCGGAGACAAAAGGCCTATCGGCCTTTCTGAATTTCAAATTCGGCTTCCAGTTACGGCTACCCCGCTAGGCAGGAGTGCCGACTTGGTTCGTTGAGCCTGGTTGCAGCCTCTTGCCTCGTGTCCTTTGTATCGTACCTCGTAACCGGCTCGCTAAGGGTCCAATTAGTCTCGGCATTCGGAATCTCTACAGAGCACCGGCCAAAAACGTCCCGGACGGGACTTTAATCCTGCACCGATCGGGAATGCATTCGAAAATAATTAGCTGATTTCGCGGAGATATAGAGACTGCGCGAAAGAAAAGATGATCCGATCGCGTTTCTAGCTTCTTTGTTTTCGACGTTGCGCAACGATCTTCCAGGATCCGTAAGTAATTGGTGGGGAGCAAAATTTAAGAGAAACAAAATTCCGGACCAAAATTTTAAAAATATCACCAACTACCACGAGTCATATTAAATTTTATTCTCAACCATAAATAAACAGTGCCATTCGTTATTTATTTTTATTGATGATATTTTTCGAAGTAATTTGTCGAATACCATTATTCACCGATTGGCTGACTCCGCGTAAAGCTGCATAAGATTTACGATATTTTATTTCTAAGAATAAATTACGTCAACCATTGTGAAATTGTCAGGCATATAATTCAAAGTGACAATTGACAGGTTAGAAATTTCGAAAATTATAACCACTCGACTTTAAATCGCACGAAACTGGCTCGGCCTCAGGTATAATTTTTCCCCGGGTGTCGGGGTGAACGAAATAAAAGATGGAGGCGTAAAAGTTTCAAGTGCCCCAGGGGGCGTTTAGGGGTGCTCCTTTCGAGTGGCTGTATTTCAGAATTATGATGTCTCACCCTCGTGGAGAATACACGGCATCGAGCTACCCCGGAAAAGCCTCCTTTTCTTACGATGGCACGAGGCCAACCGAATAAAAAGCCACTGGAACGGCGTTGCCCTCGAAATTTCAAGGGAGCGAATACCCACGGTGAAGTCCATGATAAAATTAAATCAAACGCGTCAATAAATGATAGCCGATGATGAATAACAACCGGGGGCTCGAGAAGCGAAATCGTGGAGAAGCAGATGGTAAAAGCATCGAGCCGACGGTAGGCTATCGTTAGGTTGCGCCAAGACTGGTTATTATTCGATGCACCGAAGCCATTTTTTCTCTCTCTCCCACTCCCACGAAGATTCATTTCGAGATGCAATTCTAGCCGGTGGTCATTTATCATATGATTTATTATATGCATACGAGTATTACTGTCTTACGTGGGATGAGAATAAAAAAAAATTTTCTTTAAGTCGCCGATCAAAAATCTGCACGAATGCCTGCACGAGCCTTCAAAACTTCATGCATATATGCATCAGCAGTAATTGAATTTCGAGCGTGAAAAGTAATGCGAGTATATTATTTCGGAGTGAAATGTCAAGATAAAGAAAAAAATGGTATTAACGGATCAACGGTATTTCCCTGCAAAGCGGATATGACGCGGATGCAACGATATAGGAGTAACGAACGCGAGCGTGATAATTGCGTGATAATTGTCGGATTATGAGATGATAATTGCTCGAATAATAACGAGCGGTCACGGCGATGATAATTCATGTGCCGTGTGTGCCAGTCGCTAGTTTGTCTCGACCCGTGCAATAAGGTTTTACCAGGTACAGGTAAAGAAAGCGAAAAGAAAAGGTTTAAAAATCGAACAAGTGCACAGGTCGAAATGCCGGCTCATTATTTCAACACGGTACAATACAGTGGCTGTCTAACTATACACCCGCCTACCTACTTACAAGCGTCAACTGTTCTTTCTATCGCTTGGGAATAGCCTCCTCGACTGTGGATACACATTGCAACGTGCATTTACAAGGCAATGCAACGCGAAGTTGGAAGTGCAGTATGCGCCCATGCACCACGGTTCCAGTCTCACGCCAACAACCAGCACGAACCACCTATTACCTTACACGATCAGCAACTAAGTAGCCTGGGCCTGTGGTAAATTTATGTCTGACCAGCGATAAGTGAAGCCTTACCATTCAAAGGTGCATGGTGAGTGAAATGTGACGGGAAGAAGCCAACTGCAGCGGCCGCAGATTGATGACCTCCCCAAACAGCTGGATGAAGACTGGCTGGAATACCCGAGATCGTGCCCAAATTCGGAAATCCAGAGATGTAGGCAGGGGTTGGTCTCACCGGCGTGGGACTGGTACCATGTTGAAGATCCTCGACGTCGACCAGACTATCGTCCTCGTCCTCCATATCAGGCTCAGCTTCGCCCTCGGAGCACCTGGACCTGGCTTCCTCGTGGGAGCTTCTCGGCGACTGCGAACCAAACTCCTGGATACGAAGATCAGCCGGATGCTTCGGCGACAGTGAATTCCTCATCTCGCCATTGTGCAGGAGTGACTTGCTGAAGTCACTGGTCTCGGAGAACTTCAACGGGGTCCTCTGCTCGGCCAGGCTCCTGGATGACTCCGATGGCACGTAGGATGATCTTGGCGATTCCGTCAGGTTGTACCTGGTCGTTCTAAGATCACTGGGGTACTTTGATAAGTTGGTAGGCAGTGGCGGTGTTCTGAGAATTGGTTGCTGATGCAGAGGAGTGTACGAAGTAACTGGTGATGATCTGGGTGACGTCGAGGACCCACTGTGCCTTGATGATGTGTCCGAAGGTTTTTTCGTATCGGCCAGAAGAGCCGCGACTGAGAAACTCAGCTGGTGCGTGGGTCTGGATGAAGGTTGGGGTGCCTGAGCTTGATTTGGTGAACCTGGACTTGTCGACGGAGGTGTCACCGGTGAGGTCATCCTTAGTACTGTCATTCTCGTACAGCTTCTAGATCACTCTTCGCCTACTGGCTATTCTGTCTTCGTACAACGACTCTCGGTTAACACTGTCTGTTAACGATCTTATGGAAACTTCAATTATTTATTATTGTCATTGAAAACTTCTCGTTAGTCATAATTCACTTGTCAATGAAGTATCTTCCGTGGACCTGGATGTCCAAATCAGCAACAACGATCTTGGCTCTCTCGCGATCCTTGCTCACAGTTCGCAATTCACCTCACGCGATTCTCTCACGAAATAACACAGCACGTATCCTGCAATTCTCAAGAAAATATTTATCTTCTCTCGTTGCGTTGGACCCCCTGCTACTTGCACCAGCGATTCCTGTACTTTCTCCAGCGCGTTATAAAGTCGCGTGCGTCAATTCACAATTCGCCTTGCTCGACTGACAGCAGCGGAGTACCAACCCAACAGCAACGGCAGCGATAGCAGCTGGTAGCGGGTAGCGTGGAAGTAATGGTATCGTTAAGAGCAGCAACGATATATTTATGGAGCGGTAATGGAAGTGGTATAGCGAGTTTCGTGTCAGCTGACGAACCTCTTCGCAAGTCGAGCTCTCCCAGTGGACTGACTGACCATCCTGGTGGCTGGTTTGACTTTTTCGTCTTGCTACCAAGGGGCCCCTAGTGGGGATAACTTGAAAGGAGGTCGAAAATGGGGCGGGCCCCCCAGTCCATGGGACGGTATATTCTCGACTCCGCCCCTGGAAGCGGCTTTCCACCTCGGTACACGGGAGCAACGAGTACGAGAGAGACACGGCGATGTCCGATGACCTTCCTGTAAGAGAGACAGAACGATGCTCTGGAAGGGAGAATATTTTCACTACGTGGAATAAGCTCCTCTTGCAAATACGTATTAGGGTGTAGAGGCCTGAGGATGGGGAAGGAGCCCAGATCCAATCGGGGCTCGGGTTCGTGCACTGGAGACGGTAATGAGCATAATTGACCAATTAGACTCGGTGAGCACGGGGAAAAAATTTCGAGCGGGAAAATTTGGATTATCGTAATTAAATTTCCTGGGAGGCTGCTTTAGGAAATTGCAATCGAGATATTTACCTTCCTGATGATTATAAGAATATTGCGTGACGAAGGAATGACAACTTCTTGTTTTTCTCCTTTAGTCGAACGTAAAATTGTTTTTCATGAATTAAAAATTACCTCAACATAACCAATGCATAAATTATCTAAGGATCGTGCAATTTGTTTTAAAAATTCAAAGAGATGCATTCGAAAGGTGATGGCTATTATTATTTTACGAGTTGAATGAAGAAATTATTTGCTTTGAAAATATTATCCTGTGTATTCACGACAACGTCATAACTTATTAGTCATACGTGGAGGGGAAAAAAAAAAAGAAGCTTAAGGATATACATATGCCATCAATATGGCATAATTAAACGTATGATTAATGAACCGGCTCTACGAGCACAAACATACCAGATATGTATATTCATGTAGTATATAAGAGAAGCAATATCCACTAGTTTTACGATGCACTTAAAAATTCTGTACTGCAACTAGGTATCGGGTATCTTATGTGCCATTGAAATATTTCAAAATTTGTATTCGATTTTTAGGTAAAAAATTTCGTAACTTATTATTATTATATTTATTTCATTAACGCGACAGCTCGTGGCAATAATTTATATTTATCATATGCAATATTGTACGTGGTGTGGTGTAATACCAGCAGCACACTCTCATCGCACAGCAACGCTGTGACAAATTATCTGGTGATAACAGGTTATCTTAGAACACAAATGATTATCACCTAATTAATTTGTTATGCGAGGAATATCAATTAAATACTATTTTACATACATATACACAAATATACTAAAGAGCGTTCTATCGCTATTATAAAAAATTATTAATTTACGAATTATCGAAATCGTTCAAAATTCTTGTCAATATAATCTCAAGATCAATCGATGGGAACTGATTTCTGATTGAAAATCAATTTGCTCCACATCCATCCTCCATTCCTCGAGATATTTTCGTAGCGGGACCCCGAGGCTCATTTGCTCTCGCGTTCGAGATCACATCGTACCCCCCCCCCCCC